CTTCGGTCACGGTTTCGTTGAGACCTAACTTGTAGGAACCTACAGGAGAAAATCATAGCTGCGGTTTATGAGAGATTGATGAATAACCTGCAGGCACATTGACCAGTCCATCCCGAAGTATGTTTCTAAGCCAGTTAAAGCTTCGTAATAGCTGACTTATAGTAGCTCTTTTAGGTTGGGAACTAACCGAATGCCCCGATACTCTTGATACTGTCTGACCAAAGTTTGAAGATCTTGGACCTGTACTTTTAGTTGTAGAGGAATGCAACAGAAAAATAACTTGCTTACCCACTGTTGGCACATGCGGACCTTTGGCCTCCACAATGTCTATTTCCTTGGCATCATTCGGTTTGACTACTACCAATGAGCTAACTGGTGTAACAAAACTGTACTTAAGAGCAATGTCTAATGCGTTCTTCTTCAATTGAGCTTTATCGCCATACGAAATATCCGCCTTTTGAAGTAACTGTTTGATGGTTAAATAAGCCCAAATTCTTTCCATGTTGGATGAGGTCGTTGTAGTTACATCTGGTTTAAGCGAAATTAGCCCGTTTGCCCCAGTACCTTCAATTGTTGGAGGATGAAAATTTGTCCCGTAATAACCGGCTACTACAATTTCGGAGCCCCCAAAGTGTATAGGAAATTGACTTTTGGTAACATGAGTCGACTCATATTTAAAATTAACGTTTACTAGTAATGGAGAAGAAACCAATCGGTAGAAGCCTTCAAGCTGTAGTGCTGCGTCGCCGGCGTCGTAAATGTGTTTGGCAAATCCCGAGTTGCGTGAAGCAAATCGTTGCAAAAAGCCTTTATCGGCGCCATCGCCGAAAGATAAAGCGAAAATTGACGTCCTTCTTGTTCCCACGTTAAATTCACTTATCTACAGAGATCAGTTAGTGATTCTAGTTTAAAGGGTAGGTAATAATACCTTGGAAGTTATTTGTTCAGTGCTTGCGTCTGTGGGTTGCCCATCTGTCAAAAATATAACTATTGGTTGACGCTGAATGTCATTAGCATTACGTTGCCTGTTTCTTTCCAACTCGACTAGTCGCAAAGCAACTTGTAAACTTCCATACATGCTCGTTGAACCGTGGGCAGTTAGCTGAGAAATTGCCCCCTTTGCTTTTCTAATGAAATTCGCATTAGCTGGAAAAGCATTCGGAAATACATCATTCTAAAAGTGATTCGATAAAAAGCCGCGCATGGATAATGGCCTATCGTACCGATGTAAAGATGTCTTGGTACTGTCGGAAATTCGAACGTGGATACCACCTGCTACTTTGCGGACGGTTCAAATCCCACACCTTAGTCTTGGTATTAAATTCCACCAAACTGAACGTGTCGCTGTGGTGCAATTGGTCGACAATGTTGTTCATCGCTTGAATGAGCTGTTGTATCTTTTGCCCCCACATGCTGCCACTTGTGTCTAACACGAAAACTACGTGCTTCGGTAGTGGTTCCAAATTTGTCGGTGCAAAGAAGTGGACAAAGTACCCATCTTGAATCAGTACCTCTCCACCACTTGGGTCCCTCTCAACGTCATACTGTACTATGAATTGTCCGGACATTCCGTCCGAATTTCTCGCCTTAAATGCAATAGCGAACTCCTTCTGTCGTTCAATAACTGGTGTAAACGTCACCACAGCTGTGGTATCATTGATTATCTTTATATCGGCGCGTGGGTCCAGTTCCGGTCTGTACATGCCGATTTCATTTCCGGAACGTAGGGGCGGAGTCTTTACTGCCGTAATTTTTCTGCTTTCGGCAATTGTAACTTTGACGCTAAGATCATTAACGAGTTGGCCTGGATGGATGTTGATAATCTGCTCGTAATAACCATCTTTGCGGTCTAAAAGTTCTTCGTATGTCAAATAAAAAGCAGCTTTTGATCTTGGTTGAATATTTACGGAGATCACGAACCGGGTAGAGTCACGCGCACTGACTTCCACGTGAGCTGCACCAAGACCTCTGGCCAATGCCTAGATTATAACAGACACTAAAATCTTCTGAGTTTCTCATGCTTTACCTGTTCGTAGGCTAGCTTAGCCTCCTCCTTCTCCTTGACATAGGCTGTGTAATTTTTGCCTTCGACTTCCATAATAAAACCGGACACGTAGGCGGCTTCTGGTAGTACTACAAGAAACGCGGCTTCCTGGGCTCGGTTTAGGGAATTTTTAACTCTGCTTGTTACGGTTGTATGTGCGAAGCGGTTACGGATATCGGACGTTATAATCATTTGGTATATCTCTGGAACGGTTGATGTAGTTGAAGCGCTATTGCCCTACAGTTTAAATACATATATTTATCCGGCGTTTAGGTGAGGACATTTACCCAACCCCGCTCCTCAAATGGACTCACAACTAGAGCGCCATGTATGTTTGAAACCATGGCACTGATACATGTAATTGTAACGAGCAGTACTCGGTCCATCCTGTGAGAAATAGAAATTTCTTGATATTACCAAAGAGTATACGTATACTCTTTGATATTAACTAAAACCATATATGGCACACTTGATAAATGAATAAGTAGCTATATTTTCAATAAGGTTATAGATAATTTGTGTAACAAAGAATTGTTGCTACTTAGAACTTAGTGAAAAGTAAGGGAGCTTACCTTTAATTTTCTATCCAATGCCTTTACCGATTCGTGCTTGTCAGTGCGGGATAATTAACTAAGTAGACAATTAATTAATGAAACTACGAGTTTTACTGTGACTTTCCCACTCAAATTTAAATTGCGCATCGTTATCAGTTAACTTTATATCATTACCATAGGCGCATCAGTTGAACTTTTAGAAATGGCGTGAATGATTTACACACAGCAGGCAGGTTTTCTCAATTGACTTACATTTTTATCAAAGGGAGTACCTACGGAATTTTGGAAATAGTTAAGTAACCTGATCACATGACTCTTTTTGAGAAAGAAAAAGAAAAAAGACAAGAACCATTTTTCTTATTGTTGGTTCTACTTTTATTTATCAAAATTAAATGTGTGTGTTTACTCTAAACTCTATACCTACACCAACGGCGCCTATGAATATATGTATTGCAAAAAATATTAAAATACATTAATGTAATAATCAAGAACGAGTTGTTATTACAAGTGGTTATCGAAAGTTGTAATCGCATCACACAGTTATTTATAAAATGTTGACAGTTTGGGAATTTTAAACCTTTGCTTTGCGGAGGGTCAATTATTACAAAAGAAATTTGAGCTTTGTTGATTAATTGTGGACAGAAATACAAAATTAGGGCGAAAGATTGAATATATTGACGGAATAAAATAGATCCAAATTTTGAACTCTTACATTCTTTACTTATTTATATATGTATTTGTTATGTTTACATTTGAAATCAACCCCTAATATTGTAGCCACATTCTTTTCTAAATACTCCTATTTAAATATCAATGAACAATGACATATGGTATTTTTTTCAAAAAGAATACACACGTTATGGCTAACAAAGTTGAACATTCTCATTGCAACTCTCCTTAATTTCACAGTTTCACAGTTTTTAGTGAATACTCTCAATAATTGTTTACGCTATTTTCTTAAAGAGAGCAAATAATTACTTTTATACAAATCAAGAAAACATTACAGTACTAATATACATATAGTGTGATTTTGAAACGATGGTTTCACAAACTTCAAAATTCACCAATGAATCATTGATAATGAAACTTGGAAGACATTGCCATTGGTCATCGGTCTGTACTCGGGTCTGTGTTTACTGTCTCCTGTCAAGTAACTTTCGTTGTCACAATACAAACTTCCAAAAAAAACAGCAACTGGATTAAATTGTTCCGGGCTACTTTAGCTTTCGAATGGGAAAAATTTTACAGACTGAAAAGTATCACTCTAGCTTTGCACGGGAGCGATTAAAGACGATTTTCCCCTAACTTTCATAATAATCGGTTCAAACGAAACGTACGATGAATTTATTCTTTGAATGATACTAAATCATCAAATTGTATTAAGTCTGGTGGAATGTTAAGAACGAGGTTAAGAAAAAGTTTGTAAGCAGGTTGATGGAATTGCCTTTCCTATGTATTTTAACAGTAAAGCTAAGAGTAAAATAAAGACTCGCGTTTTGAATCACGCTAGAATGCCATATAAATGTATATGGACGAAAATCAGAAGATGTTAAGTGCTGTTTAAGAATGCAACTTAATATTTAGAACTTTAATTGCGGCTAACTTGAATGAGTACGTTCACACTTTAACCATTTCTCAATTTGTGGTTACTATGACAAATTATATAATAAACAACCCTTTACTTGGTTTTATTCACATATATTAATATATAATTGAAAATCTATGGAACATCTTTGATTCAGGAGGTCCACAATTTAAAAATACAAAATTTTACACTTTTTCCGACTCCTTTAAGATCTCTCGTCTAAAATGTTATTAGTAAGCTTGCAACAGATCAATATTTACCTTTGACGATGGATTTTAAAGTTATCGAGTAAATTTGACGAAATACATAAATACAACTAACATTTTTATTTACAATTTTCCTTCGACGTGGGTGATCTGGAATTTTTACTTGTAACCTTTTTACTAGTCAATCTGTGGTAGATATCAGATGATTTCTAAAGGGCTGCATACTTAAACGCCACGGACTTATTGCTAGAATATTTATTGCTAACGATGTACTTTAGCTGTTGTTTTGCGGCGTAGCACCTTTCAGCATCTGGTGGATTTTATAGAAAAACTTTAAATACATATCGCAAACCAAGAGCCAAGAGTCTAACCCAATTGCAGTGGACAACGCTTTTCTAAGTGTATGCATCGATATAGTTTTTGCCCGCCCATTGGAATCAGGTTTTTGCTATATGGTATGGTGCTTCTGTCTTTCAGTTATGCAATTTCTTCACAGATCAAAAGCAAAGATGAGGAGGAGGTTTTCTATCTACACCCTAGTAATTACAACATTTATGACCGTCGTACAGTTCAATTTTTTGTAAATATCATTTCCAATTATACAGAAGGAGTAGTTTAAAACTTTTTGTGATTTTATTAAAAAATAGATACTTATTTTATGTATTACACTTCATTGGTATATAAATTACGTTGGACAGCAGACTCCGGCAAACCTAGAACAATGAGCAATTATTTATCTTGATAGATTAATAAATTAACAAAGTACTTACTCATTTCGCAAGACGCAGAAATGGTCATAATACTCAGTTACTGATGGTAAGACAGCTTGGTGACATTCGTGAAGTAACTTGCATCTTCCTTCTTGGTTATTAGTTGCTTTCAGGCATGGAACGTTGTCGGTGATGGTTTCGTTAACACCCAACTTGAAGAAACCTAGAGGTATATGGAAATTGTTGTTTGTTCTTGAGCATGGTTTTACTTACCTGTAGGTCCCTTCACCATACCATTCGTGAGTATGTCTCTAAGCCAAGGAAGCTTTTGTAACAATTGGTGTAGGGACGAAGTAGTAAGATGAAACGGTTCCACTCGGCCGTCAGGCGTGTCTATGTTAGTTCAGGTTAACAATTTGTCATTATGGTTAAGAGCAGTTATTACCTTTAACTTGTGGAACCCCGCCTATAATATTTATATGATGTGCACTTTGCCCACTTGGTGAAGGTCGCGGTATTCCTGGGTAGCTTGCTGGTGCAACACTCATGGGTCTTCCTGAAAGTAGTATACCTACTTTACATTAATTTAAAGCTCCTGTAAAATGAAAAATGCTCATTACCTCCAAAGAACGGTTTGCTAGCATGATAAGATGTTCCTAAAAGAAATTAAAAATGTAAAGATAACTCTAGTATTTGTGTTATAATGCATACTTTGTGCAACGTGACCCCAATGAGGTCCGGAGATTCTTGATGCCGTACTTCCAAACGTTGAAATTCCTCGTAAACCTAAGCAAATCTTACTTGAAAAGAATGTGTACAAGGAAACGTCTACGTACCTAGGCCTTGCGTTGGAACAGGTTGACGCTCGGCGTCTTCGGTATTCACTGCATTGGTTTCATTCGGTTTGACTACCACTAATGAACTGACCGGTGTAACAAAGCTGTACTTGAGAGCTAAATCTAAAGCTTTCTTTTTCCGTTGATTTTCCTCGCCTTCTGACGTCTCCTTCTTTTCGAGTAATTGTTTAATGCTTAGATATGCCCAAATTCTTTCCATATTTGAAGTTGTCGTTGTAGTTACGACAGGTTTAAGAGAAATTCGTCCTCGTCTTCCAATACCGTCAATCACTGGAGTTGGAAATCTGGCACCGCAATAACCGGCAACTACAATTTCGGACCCTTTAAAGTGTATGGGAAATTGTGTGTTGGTAATATTAGCGGCGACGGTCGATTCGTATTTGAAGGTAACGTCTGACAATAATGGGGATGAAACTAATTGGTAGAAGTCCTGAAGTTGTAGGGAGGCGTCGTCTGCTTCGTAGATGTGTTTCGAAAATCCAAAGTTTCGCGAGGCTAACTTTTGCAAGAAGTTCTTGTCAGCGCCATTACCGAAGGATAACGAGAAAATTGGCGCTCTTTTTGCTTCAGAGTTAAATTCGCTTATCTGCAACAGGGCGATTTCAGTGAACTTGCTTTGAGGGATAATCTGCATTTACCTTGGAAGTGATATCTTCGGTGGTTGCATCTGTGGGGTCTCCATCGGTTAAAAATATAACTATTGGCTGACGTCTTAAGTCGTTAGAATCGCGTTGTCTATTTCTCTCCAACTCGACCAATCGTAAGGCAACTTGCAAAGCTCCAAACATGGCCGTTGAGCCTTGAGCAACTAATTTGGAGACTGCCGCTTTAGCCTTGCGGATTACATCTGAATTTGCTGGGAAAGCACTTGGAAATGAAGCATTCTGAAAACGATTCAATATGAGTTTCTACAAAGCATAACAATTAGACTCACCTCTAACGGTACCGATGTTTGTCCAATGTGTTCATAATATCGACTGTTTGCACGTGGATACCACGTGCTTTTTTCTGGATTATCCAGGTCCCACACCTTTGTGTTGCTGTTAAATTCCACTAAACTGATCAAGTCACTTTCGTTCAGTTGATCGACAATGCTGTTCATCGCTTGAATAAGTTGCTGTATCTTTTGCCCCCACATGCTACCACTGGTGTCTAGCACAAAAACTACATGCTTCGGTAGAGGGTCTAATTCTTTCGGGGCGAAGAAATGTACAAAGTATCCATCTTCAATCAGAACCTCTCCACCACTCGGATCTCGCTCAACATCGTACTGCACTACAAATTGTCCAGAAAGACCGTTCTCTTCTTTCGTTCCGAGTACACGTGCGAACTCCTTTTGCCGTTCGACATTTGGACTAAACTTGACAACTGCCGCGGTATCATTGAATATTTCTATATCGGCTCTTGGATCGAGTTCTGGCTTGTCGGTCCCGATTTCGTTTCCTGAACGTAGAGGTGGCGCCTTTAAGTCGGTAATTTTCCTACTTTCCGCAATTACAACTTCGACACTAAGATCTTTAACGGGCTGGCCCGGATGGATATTAATAACCTGCTCGTAGTGACTGTCTTTACGATCCAAAAGCTGCTCGTATGTCAAGTAGAAGACTGCCTTTGACTCTGGTTGGATATTTACGGATACCACGAATCTATTGGAATCCCGCGCGCTGACTGCCACATGGGCCGCACCCATACCACTCGCTACCGCCTAAATTGCGTTTATTTACAAAAATGTCACTGATACGAATGTTCCTCTTACCTGGTCATAAACGCGCTTAGCCTCCTCTTTCTCCTTAACGTAAGCTGTATAATTTTTTCCATCAATTTCCATAATAAAACCGGAAATGAAAGCGGTTTCTGGTAGGATTACTGAGAAGACGGCCTCCTGAGCATTGTGTGCAGAATTTCTAACTCTGCTTACGATAGTTGTATGGGCGAAGCGATTGCGGATACTGGATGTGATGCGCATTTGATAGATCTCGGGGACGGTCGTATCCGGAGTATTTTTGCCCTAGGAAAGTACCGTACAACTATGCGCCGAGCCAAAGACGAAGAAATAAATACCTCTTTATCACCACCCTCATAAGAAGAACTCACAACTAGAGCTCCATTAATGTGTGACACCATGGCACACAACCATATTGTCGCGATAAGCAGCATTCTGGCTTTTGGATGATCCATTCTTAAAAAAAAGGTATATCACTTAAAGCTATACTATTTCAAACACAAGTAAACTATCCCAAGTGACGATGCTATGGAATGAGTCTAACTGTAAAAGGTCTTACCGTTGCCGAAGAATCTTAATTTTCACAGTGAAACAACTAACTGAGTATAAACTTCATTTAAGGAAGGTTTAATTTATATTCTAATTATCCCACCATAATTACTAAAAGTATGCACGCAAGCTTGATTACAAGAAATGAATAGTGTAATCGGTTATCAATTTAAATGTAATTACCCAACAAAATCTTGGAATGAAATAAATTTAGCCAAACCTACAGTGAATGTTATTGAAAAGCGACTTATCTATACCAGTCAGTTTATTTATAAAACTGTTTATAGAAGACGACACATGTTTGATATTGATAATATAATTAGTACGAATTAATGAATTTTTGCTTAACGTTTACGTACTTTTCAGTAAATTTTGGAAACCGTGCGTACTTACTACTTAGGTTCTTGTATTCTGGTTTTCCCTTCGGATCAATGCTTTACGATAAAATTAGCATCTTTTATAATACATACTTTTTGAACAAGGTTCATTTTCCTGGACTCTGAAAATTCTCCATCTCTTAACGTCCAGAATGATGTATACCTCGCATTTGGGAATTTTTCATAGACAAATTACCTTTTTATTGTCTATGGGGATTATGTAACTGCGAGGTATGCAAAATGTCAACATTCATTCTTATCGATGCTTAGTGAACTATAACACAATGCATTCTGTTTCTTTACACTATGCTTAAATATGAGTTTTGAAGACAATTTTTTGTGTCATTTAGCAGTAGCAACAAATTCATTCATACCTATTTTGTGCTAATTTTGGAGACATAAATGATACCGAATCAATGTTCTGGAATTCCCAATAATAACAATTTTGTTTGGGTGATTTCAGTGTAATGTGTAATGTATTTTTTTAAATGCTTTGTGTACAGAAGAACATTAAAGTTCACAACTGCATATTTTTTTCAAAAATTGTAATGCTGCGCTAGTTTAATTTGTTCAATATGATTGCAACAAACGGATCTAATGAATTTGCTAGTGAATAGATACTTCTACTCGATTAGAATTAGTTGCTGTTAACAGATACAGTCTTCTAACATTTGAAAATGAAGGAATGAACAGTATAGAAGATTCAAAAATGTTTAGATCAACCAAATGGAACATTTTTAAGGCAACTAAAACAAAGATTCGTGTACCTATTCATCTGTTAAAACTAGAATCATTTTTTGCGTTTATTGGGAACGGTTTGACCTATTGTTTGAAATGTATACACCTCCTATCACCATATAATCAGTACCTACACGTATTTTCTAGTACTAAAATTAACGTGAATGTGAAATAGACACGACACGTATTTTATTTCAACGTATTCAGGAGGCGACGCTGGTCCATCCGAATAAGATTACATAAAAATGGAGCGAAATTTGGACCCATTCAAGACACTTTACCGTGTTTTTCCATCGTTCATTTTTTATACCTTCATTTTAGACAAACTGGTAGCACTTACTTCATCATACATCTCTTAAATTTTACATTTTGTTTTTTTTTTATAATCGTGTCATTTTAATCCTGCAATTGTGTCTTGTTTGTCTCTTATATGTAGGTATAGTGTCGTATATTATTTATGTTAAATTTATATACAAACCCTGACAAGTGTAAAGACTGTACGGTCTCTCAGCACAATAAATCAATCAATCAATCAATCAATCATACAGTATAATCGAAGGTATTTGCTGGAAACAATGAATATTGCATTTTTGTGTAAGAATTCTTACAGTGTGTGTTTTATTTACTATCTGATACCTCTAACGCCCATTTTGGAGGTATACCATTGCCGTAATATTAACATCAGTGCATACTTATTACACAAAGGGATCAAATATTTTTGCATAAAGATTTATGCTTTGTAATACTTTAACTTGAACCGAGTACAAAAATATCACTTTTGGAATCCCTTGTTAAACTTGTCTTGATTGGCTTCAGCAATAGGGAGGTCTCATACTTTCTGTTTACTTATAATTCGGAAGACTTAATTACTCACTAACACGTGGCACAAATAAAAAAATTGGAAAAATTAATTAGCGGGCAAAATCATTTCGTGATTTGAAGA